TCGTCTGGGCAGGGTGGGCCCGCGGCGAGGGCGCACCGCAGAGCGGCGGCGGGCACGGAGCCGAGGAGAGCGCGGGGAAGCGCTCGCTCTGTGCTAATACCAAGGGGCGGATCTAAGTTTAGAACAACCTGAGGTTTTATAAATAGCCTGACAGACGCTGTCAACTGCGCCAGCGATTTACAAACCAGGCGTGAAATCCGCAGCCCCGGCCCAGGCGCGCTGAGGGCAGGCGGAGAGCAGGGGGCTCGGCGGGCACGGAGCCGAGGAGAGCGCGGGGAAGCGCTCGCTCTGTGCTAATACCAAGGGGCGGATCTAAGTTTAGAACAACCTGAGGTTTTATAAATAGCCTGACAGACGCTGTCAACTGCGCCAGCGATTTACAAACCAGGCGTGAAATCCGCAGCCCCGGCCCAGGCGCGCTGAGGGCAGGCGGAGAGCAGGGGGCTCGGCCGGGAAAGGAGACCGGTATGGGGCGAGCTAGGCACAAGAACGCCATAGGTAAGGAAAACCTAGCCAAGCCGGGGCGCTGGCTGCCCTTGAGGGGTATTTAGCACACTGGCTCTTTGTAAAACGGGGGGATGTGATCCTGCTTGTACAGGCCTCCCGGGGTGATGCAATTGACAAGGTAGCCAGCCTTCTTAGGAAGGGATAGTGCAACTGCGCCTAGGGGACAGGCCGGGGGGAGTTGCAGCTTTACAGCTTCTCTTTAGCTTTACAGCTTCTCCACGTGAGGCATTTCCGGGTTTCTAAACAGACACCAAGCCCAGGTCTTCCATGATCATCATTGCCAGCACCTTAGCTTTAAAGGCAAAAGCCAAAGCTCCTTTCAGGTTTTGTATCTAGTATACTCAAAGTTGGCCTTACCCTAAGGCAAACGGAGGAGGCCACCTCAGCTACCGGAGGGGGGGGAGGGGGGGAAGCATACCACTTGGACCCAGAGTGTAGAAAATTGTCTGCTGCTGGTGCATATGTATTCTCTCTGCTCTAGAGTAGAACAGGAAGAAGGCAGAATTGAGATCTTTCAAAGTTTTAGCCTAAGTGAGGGGATAGGAGGGGATCATTTGAGCTCCCCACCTCAGGTGACAAAATGTTATAGGCCGACCCTAAGTATACATCCCACACCATCGCTACGATTTTAAGACAGGATGAGTTATGGCACATGCAAATAACTAGTTTATCAGGATTTGACCACTGCAACTGAAATCTGATTCCTAAAATCATTGGACCAGAGGATGCCATGAGGCTTCAAAGTGGTACTGAGACCTCCAACTCAGAGTCCCACATACAGTCTGATGGCTAAATCATGCCCATAAACAATTAAGAATTACATACCCTTTGCATTTTCCTAAAAGAGGCTGCCGTAACATGGGGTGTCAATATGGGACGGTATGGTCCTGCAGCTTCAAGTTGAAAGACTGCCAAGTTCTCTTCCAGACCCTGCGAAGCATGTGGCATTTAGGATCAGGTACATGCTGTAAGTCATTTACCCTTTTGTCCTTTCCCTTTTTGTGAAAAATCTATTTTAAACATCACAAAAATGTAATGCTCCCCCAGCTGCTAATTGCTGATCAGTGCATTGGCTTCCTCCACTATCATAACATTCACAATTATACTTTTAACGTTAATTTGCTTAAGAAAGAGCCTCTGTGGTAAATTTTTAAACAAAAAGGATGGGTAAAACAGTGCCACTAAATTATATTCATACATTACACTCCCTTGATTCAACTGAAAAGTGTCTACTCTAGCATCAACTGAAAACTGGGGCTGTTCTTGAGGGTAGGTGGCATTAGAACATTGTGGTAGGACCAAAGGTCTGTCTAACCTAGTGGTCACCAACCAGTAGAGCAGGATCTACTGGTAGATTTTGGGACGTTTGACAGGTGATCCTGATGGTTTGGCTGGGAGCCTATCAAGTGCTGGCACTTAATCTGCCCCTCTCAGTTCTGCCGTGTTGCTTCTGCCCTCTACTTTGGAGGTGCCCCTCACCCCTGGAAGCCTCCAGCTTGCTGTACAGGGCACGGGAAGAAGAGGAAAGGGGGGGGTGCTGATGTCAGAGTGCCCCTCCCTCCACCTTGTACCCCATCTCCACAGAGCAGAGAGTTTGCTGGCTGCTTTCGGGAGAGGTGCAGGGCCAAGGTAGGGGTGAACCTGCCTTAGCCCCCTGCACCACCACCCAGAAGCCACCTGTGGTAAGTGGTGACCAGCCCACATTCCAAAGCCCGGGCCCAGTCCTGAATCCCTCCTGCACACCAAACCTCTGGCCCCAGCCTGATAAAAGTGAGCAAGGATGAGGGAAGGAGGGTGAAGTGAGCAGGGGTGGGCCCTTGGAGAAGGGACAGAGCAAGCATGTTTAGGCTCAAGGTAGATCCTAGATTGCACTTAAATTCAAAAAGTGATCTCATGCTTAAAAAGGTTGGGGACCACTGGTCTAACCCATCATCTTTGTCTTCTACCAGTGGCCAGAAGCAACTAACAGAGCAGATCTATAACCTGTCACCCATTCCCAGCTTCTAGCAAGAGAGATTAGGGACACCATTCCTGCCCCTCCTAACAGCCAATGATGAACCTATTCTCTACTAATTTATATAGCTCTTTAAAAAACCTCTACTGGAGACTTAGCTTTTACATCATCTCTAGCAAAGACTTTCAGAGGTTGTCTGGGAATTACAGGAATACTTCCTTTCGTTTGCTTAAAACCCCATTAATGTCACTTGTTGCTTTTTTTGAACCTTTTCCAATATCTCTTTTTTAAGAATGGTCAACCAGATCTGTATGCAGTATTCAAAATGTGAGTTTACCATGAATTTATATAGATGCAACATAGTTCTTGCCTTGCCTCTACCTTTCTTAAAATTCCTAACATTTTGCTTTGACTGTTGATGCATATTGAGCATATATTTGCAGAGAACTCCCCACAATGATTCCAACATTTTTCTTGAATGGTAACAGCTAAATTTAGATCTCATCATTTCATATGTATAGTTGAGATTGTTTTCCAGTGTGCATTTTCTTTGCACTTATCAGCATGGAATTTCATCTTCCATTTTGTGAGATCTCTTCGGAACTCTTCAGAGTTTGTTTTGGACTCAACTGTCTTGAGTAATTTTGTATCATCTGCAAATTTTGACACCCATTTATACTTTTTTTTTTCCAGATCATTGAAGAGCATTGGTCCAGACCTCCAGGGTACACCATTTACCTACCTCCAGGCTGAAAACTGACCACTTATTCCTATCCATTGTTTCCTTATCTTTTAACCAGTTACTGAGTCATGAAAGGACCTTCCCTCTTATCCCAGCTAACTTTACTTCAGAAGATTTTCGTGACACTGAATATATGCCCACAACACTAGCATATTCATAGTTTCACTCAATTATGAAAAAGTTAGATGCTTGGAAAGATCTCTAATTTATTTGGCCAGCAAAATCCTTTGCTCTGCTGCCATCTGTTGTCATATTAAGAAACATACTAACTCTGCACCAGTAAATAAGGTCATACAACACAACCTTTCAGTGGTCTCATTTTTCAGACTTCTCAATCTCATTAGTGCTCCACTTCATAGGGAATTACCACCACCAACTGTTGGGACTCTCTTATTGAACTTGGGGGAAGGAGAGTATAATTCAATTGAAGTCAAGAGACTCTTTAGATTGACTGCAATAGGCTTTGGGTCAGACACACACCTGGAAAGGATACAGGCCTATCTATATATACCCCATTACAAGCCAAAGTGCTCTCTCAAGACAGAACTGCTTCATCATCCCAAGGCTGGGGTGCCCAACCTATATGGCCCACCAAAGCATCTCAAGAGGCAGGCAGTATACTCCAACACAATATACTAATGGCTGACTCAGTATCATGTTCAGATCATTTTAGTTTACAGAAATGTGTAAATAGTATTATAAATATAAACTATAAATACATACCAAAACATGGATTTAAACATAAATCAATACACAACTTTAAATCTTATTAAAATATGTAGAATCTGTGTGGACCTCCTGCCTTACGCTGAAGGAAGACAGCCGTTAAGTATAGACATTCCAAAAAAGAATGGAGGAAATAAGAAAAACAGTATTGCTGGCCAGGGGAAATGCTAAGGCAGGCAAGCTTCACTCATGAAGATAAAAAGGCTGATTACCCTTTATCCTTTCATTAGGCCACCTGCATTTCCATAAGTCTTTAGATATGACTGGTACATTACTTCTTCAGTACTAAAATGTGTCCTAAATATTGAATGGGTGAGGAGACCTATTTCCAAAATATTACATCTGATTATACATAAATCTTAACTTATTGTAGTTGGTGACCTTTTAGGATAACGGGCTAAAAAAGATGTTACAATTTATTCATCTATTACCTCCTTCAAAGTTAAGTGGCTTCGTTTGCATATTACATTGAAGCCCATCCTTATCTGGAAATAGTTTTTAAGAATTAGGTGTTTAGTGGCAGACTACTAGGATATGTCTACACATCAAAGTTATTTCAGGATGCCAGAGATATCCCGAAATATCTACCTCCCGACTTACGAACACACCGACTTATGACCATCCGTAGTTACAACCAACCTCCCATTAACCCTATTATAATATTTTAGAGTTGAGAACCATGCACGCCAAGTTTTTCAAACAGCACAGGCAGCATGTTTAAGGGTATTTCCGACTTATGACCAAATCGAGTTACGACCAGGCGTTCAGAACGTAACCCATTTGTAAGTCAGGGACTGCCTGTAGTCTATTTTGAAATAAACTCGAAATAAGTACACAATTTGTGTAGTGCAAATTGTGTACAGTCAGTCCCCGACTTACGCGGATCCGACTTATGTCGGATCCGCACTTACGAACGGGGTTTTCTCGCCCCGGAGCTCACGGGCGGCAGGTCACAGGGAGACGGGGAGCAAAGCCTTGGAGCACACCCGCAGTGGGACAGCCGCGGCGCGCCTGGACTGTCCCACTGCCCGTGTGCTCTGCAGCTTTGCTCCGCGTCTCCCAGGTCAGCAGACCAGGGAGACGGAGCAAAGCCGTGGAGGACTTGGGCGGTCCCGCCATCCCCGTCTCCCTGGTCTGCTGGGAGGCCGGGGGGTGCAGCTAGTCCCCCCCCCCCCACCCACCCAGCTC